TAACTTGTTTAACTCACTCCAAATTTTTTTCTTATTTTCATTAAAATTTCTTGACAGTGCCTCTCCCACTCTTTCATCTGCTCTCCTTCTGCACTCTCTCACCACTCTCTTCACCTTTCTTTTACTCTCCATATACTCTGCTCTTCTTATAACACTTCTGCTTTGTAAAAACCTCTCATAAGCTACCTTTTTCTCTTTTATCACACCCTTTACTTCATCATTCCACCATTCACTCCTCTTTCCTCCTGCCCCACCCTCCTATAACCACAAACTTCTGCCCCCCATTCTAATACTGCATTTTTAAAACTATTCCAACCCTCTTCAACCCCCCCACTACTCATCTTTGCACTAGCCCACCTTTCTGCCAATAGTCGCTTATATCTCGCCCGAAAATTCCTCCTCCCTTAGTTTATACACTTTCACCTCCCTCTTGTTGTTGCCACCTTCCTCTTTTCCATTACCTCTTACTCTAACTGTAGCTACAACTAAATAATGATCCGATATATCAGTTGCCCCTCTATAAACATGTACATCCTGGAGCCTACCCATCAACCTTTTATCCACCAATACATAATCTAACAAACTACTTTCATTACGTGCTACATCATACCTTGTATATTTATTTATCCTCTTTTTCATAAAATATGTATTACTTATTACCAAATTTCTTTCTACACATAGCTCAATTAAAGGCTCCCCATTTACATTTACCCTGGCACCCCAAATTTACCTACTACTCCCTCCATAACATTTTTACCCACTTTAGCATTGAAATCCCCAACCACCATTACTCTCACACTTGATTCAAAACTCCCCACGCATTCACTCAACATTTCCAGAATCTCTCTCTCTCCTCTACACTTCTTTCTTCTCCAGGTGCATACACGCTTACTATAACCCACTTTTCACATCCAATCTTTATTTTACTCCACATAATCCTTGAATTTATACATTTGTAGTCCCTCTTTTCCTGCCATAGCTTATCCTTCAACATCATTGCTACTCCTTCAGCTCTAACTTTATTTGAAACCCCTGACCTAATCCCATTTATTCCTCTCCATTGAAACTCTCCCACCCCCTTCAGCTCTGTTTCACTTAAAGCCAGGACATCCAGTTTCTCTCATTCATAACATCACAATCATTCTTTCTTATCATTTGCACAACATCCACGCACATTCAGACTTCCCACTTTGACAATTTTCTTCTTATTCTTTTTAGTAATCTTTACAGGAAAGGGGGTTACTAGCCCATTGTTCCCGGCATTTTAGTTGACTTTTACAACACGCATGGCTTACGGAGGAAAGATTCTTATTCCACTTCCCCATGGATATAAAAGGAAAAGTAATAAGACCAAGAACTATTAAGATAAAATCAAAGAAAACTCAGATGAGTGTGTATAAATAAACGTGTACATGTATGTGTAGTGTGACCTATGTGTAAGTAGAAGTAGCAAGACATGCCTGTAATCTTGCATATTTATGAGACAGACAAAAGACACCAGCAATCCTACCATCATGTAAAACAATTACAGGCTTTCGTTTTACACTCACTTGGCAGGACGGTAGTACCTCCCTGGGTGGTTGCTGTCTACCAACCTACTACCATCGCTACTATTATGGGCAAGAAAACGGCAATCAAGGAAGCTGTTCTTGCCAAAGGTGCAACTATGTTTCGAAACTGAGATTACAAGTGATAGAAGATGTTGAGAGACTGTTATTGGTGTGGATAAATGAAAAACAGATAGCAGGAGATAGCATCTCTCAAGTGATCATATGTGAAAAGGCTAGGAAGTTGCATGACGATTTAATTAAAAAAATGCCTGCAACTAGTGGTGATGTGTGCTAATGCTAGTGGTGATTGCAAAGTGAAGCCTTTCTTGGTGTATCACTCTGAAACTCCCAGTGTGTTCAGGAAAAACAATGTCCTCAAGGACTTGACACCTCAAGTCCTAATGAAAGGGGATTCCCCTTCTAAACACTATAACACCATCCACACTCTCCCCTCCTCCCATCCCATCAATCATCACCAGATCTTCATTAAAGGTAAGTGTCAATTATTCTATTGTTATTAATCTATTGTTATTGTTGTTATTGTAATTATTCTATTGCATTAAACTTAATATTTCATGTGGTAAAATTTTTTTTTTCATACTTTTGTGTGTCTTCCACAGATTAATTTGATTTCCATCATTTCTCATGGGGAAAATTAACTCGACTAACGATAATTTTGACTAACAATGAGCCCTCAGGAACGGATTAATATCGTTGGTCGAGGGTCCACTGTACAACCATAAATACTATACGAAAATAGACCACAAAGTCGGCATTTTAATTAAAAAAAAAAAAAAGGTCGGAGTTTTTTTTTTCTCATTATGCACTGTGTGCTGCAGGATTGTTTTTATATGGTGCACACTGACCACACCGACCCATTCTCTCACATATGGGCCTACCAGCTTTCTCCTGCTTGATTTGAAGCCGCTAGAATTTAGGAGTACATGTATTTATATGTCAAACAAGGTGGCTCTTAAGCCGTATATATATGACCGAAACAGTCAAAGGGTTAAAACTAACAATTTTGAGTATGGGGACAGGGAATGTAGCACGAGACCCTACATCTCTGCTAATACTTCTAAGTGAGGGCACAGGGAAGAGAGGGAAAGGGCTCACTGTTCATTCTGGATCAAAATGTGACGTTTTTTCTTATTCAGATCAAGTGTTATTAATGAATATTAACTCCAAATTAGGCTTAAAATTTTCAGAAATTTAAATGTACTTTTACATTCCTGCCTGTCTCTCCAGAACTTTATTCTTAAATTTTGTACTGATGAAAATGCATACATATTTCATTATTACTATACAGTAAATTAAATATAAACATTGAATAAACACAAGAAAGAAATACTGTAATTCTGATGACTGATTAGTAATAAGATACTAGAAGTCAAGTGATATCCCTGCAAATACGTACATGTAATGGTCACTAAATATTGGTTACAAAGATGCATGTTGTGTGGCTCTTAGGAAATAATTTGCATCACTGATTATCAATGATGCAAAAGTCAGGGCTGGTGCAATGGGCATCTGCATAGTCTTATCTAGAAATTATGTAAACTAAAAGCAATTCAGAGCTCAGGAAGTAATGGTAATATTATATGATCAACTATGTAAAGAAAAGGAGGAGTTATAAGTGTTTAAATGAAAGAACTGTGTGTATCAGAATAAAAGAGGGATGCAAGATGTGTGTAGAAACAGAGATTTTGGGAAGTGTTAAGTGAATGTTAAGGGAGTTCTGAACCAAGTGAGAGAATAACGGTTGTAGGGGACATTAATGTTAAAGTATAAGACTGTTGTGTATGGACTAGTAGGCGAGTTTGGAGTGCCAAGGTAAGTGATAATAAGGACCTGTAAATGAATTACATATGGAAAAAGGTTTGGCAATACAAATAAATGAGATATGATACAGTGCAGGTGATCACTGGAAGTGACAGCCCAGTTGACAAGATCATGTCAAATATAAATAACAAAACTAAGCCAGCTCAGTGAATAAAATTCAAATACTGTACCAACAAAAGGCTGCTACTACCTCCAACACACATTTGTAAAACTTGAGGGTATACATGAAATAAGAAAAGGCTCTGATTAAACCACATCTTTTTATGGGAAAGGATGTATACTGTACAGTATGCACATGAAGATGAACTTGTTTTAAAACAGCTTGAATGATGAATGGAAACTTATAATAGGAGGAACTGCAGTAAGCCTACTGGCCCATACTAGGCAGGTCCAACTCATACCCACCCACACCTACCCATGTATTTGTCCAACCTACTTTAACCCTTTGACTGTTTTGGTCGTATATATACGTCTTACGAGCCAGTGTTTCAGACGTATATATACTCAATAATTCTAGAGGCTTCAAATCAAGCGGAAGAAAGCTGGTAGGCCCACATGTGAGAGAATGGGTCTGTGTGGTCAGTGTGCACCACATAAAAAAAATTCTGCCGCACACAGTGCGTAATGAGAAAAAAAACTGATCGTTTTTTTTGGATTAAAATGCCGACTTTGAGGTGTATTTTTGTATAGTATTTATCGATATATTTGCGTTTTCATGGTCTTAGGTGATAAAATGAAAAACATATTACAGAAATAGAGATGATTTTCATTACTTTGACGATGAAAACGACCTTGAAACTGAGCTCAAAGTAGCGGAAATGTTCGATTTTTACCAATGTTCAGGAGTAAACAATCACACCACACGTCCACTACACGTCAACTGGGGAGTCTAATATTCTTTCACTAGTGCACTGATATTATTTATACCATTTTTAAAATAATGCAGTAGTCTGCATAACAGTAAATTTTGTATTTTTGTATGAATAAAAAATCAAAATAGAAAGCAATAATATAAGAGGGGCCTAGAGATGTGACTAATGAACAGAGGATATGTTATTTTAGTGTCAAGAATGTCTACCTTGTTTATTCTGGACCCTATTTTGAAATTGGCATCTTTTTTAGTTTGCATGAAATTGGCCAAATTGCCAATTTCTGACCACAATACTGGGTAGTCCAAATTGGTAAATGGGAGGTTTCTTGTACTCAGCTGATAGATAAAATGGAGTTCTAAAGAAATAGTTATGAATTTGGTCAACTGGAACAATGGAATTGGCAGAAAATAGGGCTCAAAGTCGGCGAAATCGCCGATACGCATATGTCGCCGAGACCGCTAACTTCGCGGGAGCGTAATTCCACGAGTTTTCAACCAAATTTTGAACTTTTGGTGTCATTACCATCGGGAAAAGATTCTCTAACATTTCATAAGAATTTTTTTTTTTTTTTTTTTTTTCAAAAATTTAGCGACATAGAATGACAGTTTCAGAAAGGGGCCTGAAACAGTCAAAGGGTTAACACTACATATTTTAGCTGCACTGGCGTGCTTTCAGGGGTGATTTTACGATGCACATTGCTCATATATGAAAATCTAGTACTATACAAATTTCTTACTTGTTCCAAATTAGGCAAATCAGGATCTTCTTCACAAGTAGGAACCCAGATCTTAATATCATCATCAAGGCCACTAGTTGCCAATACTGGGATGTGGGGGTGTGGTTCCAGGACATTTACCTAAAAATATACATACTCTACACTTACGTAAAAATGACCTGTATAAAAAAATGTCAATCTAAAGATGAAATATAAACCTTACCTCAAATATGCCCATCAGGTTCTAATAAACTTTGAATACTTCAAAGATTTCAGTGCAAATATAAATACTGCTAAGATCTAACATTTTTTTTAAAGAATATAAAATCCTTAATTCTAATTTTATATCATTATTTTTTAACACACTGGCCATCCTATTTTAATGACTTAAAAAGTATATTATTTTTTTAGTTTGACAAGGATTACTTTAAAAACCAACAATACTTACCACCCCATTTTCATCCCCAGGCATACACTGAACAATGGCTTCAGTTTCCCGATGCCAGAAGAATATGTTACCACAGTCAGAGCCAGATATCACATACTGGCTACCAGGTCCAAAGAAATTAACGCCCTTAACTGTAATATAAAAAGAACAATAAAAAAATACAAGTATCTGCTAGATAGGTAAAACAAAAAAAATAATTTCAGTGGAAAACATCACAGTAATGTATTTAAAAATAATACAGTAACAAAATTTTAATTAGACAAACTACTGAATTATCAGAAATGAAGTGCATCACAGCTCAGTAATTGTGATTTGGCTCAAAACTGAAGGACCCGGGTTCAATCCTGGAGTGGTTGGAGATGGACATGTTTTTTACACTTGCTGCTCTGTTCAACCCACAAGTACCTTATATGTGGTTGCAGGTCGCATCTTAGTTCCTGGCCCCACCTTCCAACTTGCCACTTGACATATTCACTTCCTTCTAACCTCATGATAAGTAGATCTGCTTTAGCCCTACATGCACTCCTAGAAGCTTCTGCTATGATGTCAATGGTCACTTTGTTGTCTTTGTAATTCTGCCTCAGATGGTAGGCAGTACATCACAGCAACTACTTTGTTGGGTTCCCCAATCTTAGCAGAGCCCACTATGAAGTCATTTGCCTCTTGTCCTGTTTATCCCTATTACCTCTTCAAAACTCCACTGATTTCTGATTAAAATTGCCACTCCTCTGCCTCTTGTATTTCCCATGTCTTATCTAATCACTTGGTACAGGTCCGCCATCACAAATCCAGCATCACTGGGACCTGTAGTATGCCGGATTATTGAGTTTGCCGGATTACAGAGTGGTTAGGTTAGAATAAACTTAATAAAATTAACCAACTTTACTTACACAAGAAAGTTCATTGAACATAGGCAAAAATCGAACATTTCTGCAACTTGGAGCTCAATTTCAAAGTACTTTTTTGTCATGAAACCTATCAAAATCAATATCTACTTCTGTAATATACAGTGGAACCTCTGCTTATGAATTTAATCCATTCCATTACCTTGTTTGTATCCTGATTTGTTCGTATGCTGGGTTAATTTCCTTCATTTAAATTAATTGAAATACCAGTTTGGAGGGATATGTTGTGTATCTTTATATGTGTATGCTTCTAAACTGTTGCATTCTGAGCACCTCTGCAAAAAACAGTGATAATGTGTGAGTGTGGTGAAAGTGTTGAATGATGAAAGTATTTTCTTTTTGGGGATTTTCTTTCTTTTTTTTGGGTCACCCTGCCTCGGTGGGAGATGGCCGGCTTGAAGAAGAAGAAGAAGAAAACAACAAGAAAATAACAACAAGAACAAGAACAAGAACAACAAGAACAAGAACAACAAGAACAACAAGAACAAGAACAACAAGAACAACAAGAACAACAACAAGAACAACAACAAGAACAACAAGAACAACAAGAACAACAACAAGAACAAGAACAACAACAAGAACAACAAGAACAACAAGAACAACAAGAACAACAACAAGAACAAGAACAACAACAAATTAATTCATTCCAGGGGAATTCCTGCTGTTTATCTGGAGTTTATCTGGAGAGAGTTCCGGGGGTCAACGCCCCCGCGGCCCGGTCTGTGACCAGGCCTCCTTAGGTCAGTGTCCCAGGATGCGACCCACACCAGTCGACTAACACCCAGGTACCCATTTTACTGATGGGGAACATAGACAACAGGTGGAAAGAAACACGTCCAATGTTTCTACTCTGGCTGGGAATCGAACCCAGGCCCTCACCGTGTGAAGCGAGAGCGTTAACCACCAGGCCACCAGAGTCAGGAGGAATTACAAAATAGTACTTCAATATGATGCTGCGGCTTATTTATCTATCACAATTCATCTAATATGACATAAACAATATTAATAACATAGAAACATGTTGTTTTAATCTTAGTTCGAGACATTTACCAGTTTGACCATAATAAACTTTATCGCAAATTTTACAAGGAATCTTATAGACATCCGTCAGCATTTTGAGGGGAATTCTTTACCAAAAGTTTTTTTTACTGTATCAAGACTTTTAAATACAACTTTGATATTAAAAGTCTTAAGAAGAGAAGGCATATCAACCAAGTTTTCATGGTAAGGGAGAACCAACACATTTTTAGTTGAATAAGGCTGGTTGTCCCTTTTTGGATTGTAAAAAGTATTTCTAGCAATTTTAAAAGATTTATCAATTAAGTTTCTTGGGTATTTCAAATCATTAGCTATTTCATAAATTTTGGATATTTCCTCATCTACGAACTCTGGACTACAAATACGTAAAGCTCTCAAAAACATTGATGAGAAAACAGACAGTTTAACTCTATCTTGATGTGAAGAATAATAGAATACATAGGAACAGTTATTTGTAGGTTTTCTGTAAATTTTAATTCATTATTACCCTTAATAATTAAAACATCTAGAAAAGGCAATGAGTTATTTTCTTCAAACTCAACAGTAAAGTTTACAGAATGGGCTAAGCTATTTAATTTACCAAGGAAATGGTATATATCTACATTCTTGGGCATAAGACACAAAATATCATCAACATATCTGAACCATTTAGCTCTATTAGGGAGGATTGTGTTAAGCAGCCTTGTTTCAAAAAATTCCATGTATAGGTTACTAAGAACAGGTGAAAGAAACGTAATTGATAAATCTTTTAAAATTGCTACAAATACTTTTTACAATCCAAAAAGGGACAACCACCCTTATTCAACTAAAAATATGTTGGTTCTCCCTTACCATGAGAACTTGGCTGATATGCCTTCTCTTCTTGGGTAGAATAGTTTGTTTGGGTTGTGTGAAGGACCTGTCTAGTTGGGCCAGCAGGCCTGCTGCAGTGTTCTCTTTCTTATGAGTCGCGTGTCAGGTGTGGCTTTGTTGTGGGATGTGATAGCGAGGTGTGGTCTAGACCCTTTATATGCCTTCCTCTGATGCATTACTTTTATTGTTCCTTGATAATGTGAGTAGTCACGAAAGTGCTTGGAATTTCTATATTCTTTCACAGTGGTTGTTTTGCATATTTTGTAATCACCTGTTTACTGTGATCTTATTGCATTATTATTATTATATTGTATTATTATTATCATTCTTTCTTCTTTCTTTCAACACACCGGCCATATCCCACCGAGGCGGGGGTGGCCCAAAAAGAAAAAGGAAAGTTTCTCCTTTTACATTTAGCATTTACATTTAGCAGTTTGGAGGGATATGTTGTGTATCTCTATACGTATATGCTTCTAAACTGTTGTGTTCTGAGCTCCTCTGCAAAAACAGTGATTATGTGTGAGTGAGGTGAAAGTGTTGAATGATGATGAAAGTATTTTCTTTTTGGGGATTTTCTTTCTTTTTAGGTCACCCTGCCTCGGTGGGAGACGGCCGACTTGTTTGAAAAAAAAAAAAAAATGTATGTGTAGTGTGACCTAAGTGTAAGTAGAAGTAGCAAGACATACCTGAAACCTTGCATGTTTATGAGACAGAAAAATGGACACCAGCAATCCTACCATCATGTAAAACAATTACAGGCTTTCGTTTTACACTCACTTGGCAGGACGGTAGTACCTCCCTGGGCGGGTGCTGTCTACCAACCTACTACCTAGGATTATTATTATTATTATTAATTTAAGGAACTGGAGCACAGATCCAGTTCCCTAGATCAAGAGCCCTTCACCATGTACTAATAATAATTATTATAACAATAGTAATAATAATATAATAGTAATAATGATAGTGGTTTTCTTCATTCCAATCATATTATATGTAAACACACACTGTAACCTTTGCAAAGAAATAAATCTTTCTTTTCTTTCAACACACCGGCTGTATCCCACCGAGGCGGGGTGGCCCAAAAGGAAAAACAAAAGTTTCTCCATTACATTTAGTAATATATACAGGAGAAAGGGTTACTAGAAACTTGCTACTGGCATTTTAGTCGCCTCTTACAACATGCATGGCTTACGGAGGAAGAATTCTGTTCCACTTCCCCATGGAGATAAGAGGAAATAAACAAGAATAAGAACTAGAAAGAAAATAGAAGAAAACCCAGAGGGGTGTGTATATACATGTATGTGCTTGTACATGTATGTGTAGTGTGACCTAAGTGTAAGTAGAAGTAGCAGGACGTACCTGAAATCTTGCATGTTCATGAGACAGAAAAATGGGTGACACCATTTAGGGGGTGACACCATAGAGCCTCTAAAAAAGGTGGTATTAATGACCAAAACAGTGCTGCACCAACATAAGAGAAGAATCCTTCATTTCTATATAGCCTATTATACATTAACAAAGTACAAATAAGCCTATACAGTGGACCCTCACATAACGATATTAATTGGTACCCGAGAACGAATATCGTTAAGTGAGTTTTTTAACGTTATCCGAGGGAAAATGTTAGCATTAAAAGTATTGTTATGCGAATTTAACATTATGTGATGCCAACGTTATGCGAGGGTCCACTGTATAGGGAAAATCATTGATTTTGATGATGTGATAGATGATTTTGCATAATTGAAGGCAAGAAAATGTAAGAACAGATTCACTGAGATGTTACCTGTACTCAAGGTCAAATTGGAACTAGCGTTTCTCTGATATTGCAATGTTTTTCTTTATTTTTCAAGTTTTTTATTTTTTTTTTTTTTGCATTGTTGACGATGAATAAATGTAGGATCTGTCGCCTGTACTCAAAGTGGTATTTGAGTTTGTTTCCTCAATATTACTACAATTAATTTTATCATTAATAAAGTTGAGGAGTATTTTCCTGTTTGGTTTATGGCCCTTAAACGTTCTCATTGCTAAACATTAGTCACTGACTGGGCATGCAGTAGCGACATAACTGGAGTTTACCAACCCCCGCCCTTGAATTTCATGGGGGTGACACCAAAGATGCTGCCCCGGGTGACACCAGAGGTTCTGCCCCAGGTGACACCAACCATAGCGACGCCTCTGATTTAAGGAACCTTCCTTGAGGGGAAAGTACGCATCCTGAAATTTCAGTTGAATCCAGAAACAAAAAATCAACTGAACGACAGCTCGTGTCCTGAAAAGTTTGCATCAAATGAGACCAAAAAATGAGAATACAACCATAAAAACCATACGAAAATATA